AAATAAAAGCTACCTAGTACTACGTAACCAACACAGTGGAACGAAAAAACATGGAAAGTTGAGGATGTAGTTAAAAACTAAAAGGATTAAATTGCAAATGCTTAACACTTTCTCCTAGCGTTTTACTGCGCATTGATTAAGATGACTGCATCATTAAAGTGCGTGTCATGTTTTTATGTACCGAAACCTCTAATAATGCGTGGGTACCATTGAGCTTCCCTTTTTAATTTTCCTAGCACCCACATTTCTGGAATGCCCCGAGCACAGCAAGGTGCTGGTGGATATGGATTGGGTGCCTGGCTAGTTTAGGCCGTCAAATCCATTTCTTCGCCCGTCTTAAAGACCTGCTCCAACCCTTCGTGCCACCGGATTTGCCCAAGGCACTCGACCGTTCATCAGAGGATCCGTTTGCTGTGCTACCACAACAGCCTTCTCTCCTTCACTACAAAAAAAATTGTTTGTAGTCACGGACTTAGTCACGGACCGTAGTGTAAAAAGTTCGTGACTAACACTTTTAGTCACGGACTTCGTCCGTGACTAGTTCAGTGACTAGTTCCGCGTGACTAGAATGTAGTCACGGAACATTGGCCGTGACTAGGTGTAGTCACAGATTATTCACGGACGTCGATCCGTGACTACATCTTGACCGGAATAAGCCTTCCGGCACGTTAGTCACGGACCGGATCCATGACTAATTTTAATTTAATTTTTTTGAGTTAGTCACGGACACGAGCCGTGACTATGTTTAATTTAAATTTTTTTATTTTTGTGGTAGTCACGGGCGTATCCGTGACTATGTTAAATTTTAAAAAATTGAATTTATTCCGGAAAAATGTAGTCACGGATCTGGTCCATGACTAATGTTTTTGTTTTAAAAAAAAGTCGATTTTAAATAAAAAAAAATAAAAAAATAAAAATTGAATTTATTCCGGATTAAAAAGTAGTCACGGATTTAGTCCGTGACTAATGTTTTTGATTTAAAAAAAAACAATTTTTTATCACCACTCATATAAGCCGGGTGTTCAAGTGCGGATTTAATAAACTCCTCAACTCCTTCAAGAAAATTTGATTGCATTCCGTACAATACCGCATGTTTATCATACATCCAAATTCTATTTTGTCTATACATTATGCCTGAATATTATAATAAAAAAATTATACAGGTTAAAAACTCTAAATTATAAACATTACCAACATATTATATGTGGAGTATTATTAATATATTAAAATTAACTAATTCCCTAAAATTCCCTTAAAATTAACTAATTCCCTTAAAATTAACTAATTTCCTTAAATTTCACTAAATTTCACTAAAATTCCCTTAAAATTAACTAATTCCCTAAAATTCACTTAAAATTAACTAATTCCCGTAAAATTAACTAGTTTACTTAAATTTCACTAAAATTCACTAAAATTTCCTTAAAATTAACTAATTCCCTAAAATTCTCTTAAAATTAACTAATTCCCTTAAAATTAACTAGTTTCCTTAAATTTCACTAAAATTCACTAAAATTCCCTTAAAATTAACTAATTCCCTAAAATTCCCTTAAAATTAACTAATTCCCTTAAAAATAACTAGTTTCCTTAAATTTCACTAAAATTCACTAAAATTCCCTTAAAAATAACTAATTCCCTAAAATTCCCTTAAAATTAACTAGTTTCCTTAAATTTCACTAAAATTCACTAAAATTCCCTTAAAATTAACTAATTCCCTTAAATTTCACTAAATTTCACTAAAATTTCCTTAAAATTAACTAATTCCCTAAAATTCCCTTAAAATTAACTAATTCCCTTAAAATTAACTAATTGCCTAAAATTTCATTAAAATTCACTAAAATTCACTAAAATTCCATTAAAAATAACTAACGTCCAATAATTAATATTATTAAACTATAAACATGCACAATACGTTAATGACATTAATTTAATCCACAATACTAAAATTATCAACATCTTAATCTTATTAATAATGCACATTTAACAATTTACTAAATTAAATAATATGAGCAAATCCAATAATTTGAGCATATATATATAATAAACACATTTAAATTAAATTAACTAACCCTAATTTAAATCATTATTAATCCTAAATTAGGCCACCTTAATTAACAATAATTGCCAATATAAAGAAATCATATACTTATATTTAATCATATATATATATATATATAATTTGAATTCAATAATACTTACATTTAACTAATATTAATAATATGCATTTAAATTATATTTAATCATATATACTTACATACGTATTTAACTAATTTACGTAATTTTAACCCTATATTTTAAAATTAATAACATATGTATTGCCAATATTATATTTAATAATATACTTACATATGTATTTATTAACAAATTTACATATTTAACTAATTTACAAAAAATACGTAATTCAAATTACATACCTTATCTGCATAAACAGAAAAAATGATATGAGATGGGTAGATTACATCCTTCAATTCTATCTGGAATTCTATCTGGAGTAGATGGTGTGATTTTGTTGAATGAAGCGGAGGCTGCATATATAAAATTTGTAGTCACGGACTTAGTCACGGAGAGTTGCATGAGCTTCGAATATGCTAGATTTCGACCGACAATGGAGGATCTATTAGAGTGGTACCAATGATACGGACTCCTCCTGAACCACCGCCATGGATTGTACGAGGTGCTAGAGTGCATGAAAGTTTTCGTATTAGTTATTATTATTTGGTCATTTGGTTTTTTGTTATCGTATTTGTTGTTAGGTCTTTCAGTTTGTTTGGGAATTTAGCCTTTGTTTATGTCATCGGATATGTTTGTATCTATGAGAACATGGATGACTGTGTCTAGCCCGTTGCATGGTTAGCGATTCGTGTTGCTCATTCAGGGGTGACCGTCTCTAAGTCTGATCATAGGGTTTACAGTCGTAGTTGTTGGAGTTTAGTTGGTGTCAGATTTGTTTTTCCTTTGATTGATGTAATGATCCTGAAACTTTTGGTATGAATAGAGACAAGTTTTGATTCAAAAAAAATGTGTGATAGATTGAAAATAATACTCCCTCCGTTCTTAAATATGAATCCTCTTAGGCTTTGGCACGAGTTTTAAGAGGAAAATAATAGGGGTACTCTAAAAGGTGTAGTGGGTTGTGGGTAAATGAAAAAGTAGGAAAGAGAAAGAGGTAATGGTAATAAAAGTGGGGGTATAAAGATATTTTGATTGAAAAAACTTACCAAAAAGGGAAAGAGAGACAAATAATTAAAAACGTCCCAAAAAGGAATGCGAGACAGTTAATAAAGAACGAAGGGAGTATAACAACTTTTTAATATTTTCCAAAATAGGAGAATTAATAAAGAATGATAAAATCGAAAAAAAATACTTTGTAGAAAAGAACAAGATACAATATGAATGAAAATAAAAGCTACGGAGTACTAGGTAACCAACATAGTGGAACGAAAAAACAGGGAAAGTTGAGGATGTAGTTAAAAACTAAAAGGATTAAATTGCAAATGCTTAGCACTTTCTCGTAGCGTTTTACTGGATTAAGAAGACTTTGCATCATTAAAGTGCGTGTCATGTTTTTATTTGTCCAGCTCAAGAAAAAATGTCGGCCACTTGTATCTTTTCTCTAATGACCAATTGTTGAGGATATTGTCTGGAAAATTGTGGACCTAAATGTTGGTGAGTTTTAATTTTCTAGAGCAATTGCTATAGGTAGTTGTTTTTTCTGGCAATTGGTATCAATTCTTAGTTTTTTAAAAAATGGAAAAAAATAATCTCAAATATTAGTGATCTGTTTGAATCCAAAGTACCAATTATCTCAAAATAATCTCAATTATATAAAAAAAATCTCAAAATATTCTACTGACTCATAAATATTATAAGTCATTTAGGGGCTATTATAAGTCACTGGAACATTTTGAGAATTTTTTTTCAATAGTTGCAATTATTCTGAGAATGCTGATACTTGAGATTATTTTGAGCAGACCAATTTTTTTTCAATAGTTACAATATATTATTAGTGGCAATGGAGGTCAATGTAGACTTTATAAAATGGTAGTAGTAGGACTGATCATCCTGGATCCTGAACGTTTGGGATGCTGAACTAAGGGTCCTTCTCGTAAGTTCAATGTCCAACCTCGCTGGTCGAACAAGTCGCACACTTGTTGATTCCATATCACCAGCGAACGGATCAACGACCGGAGGAAGAAAAAAATAATTCACAACAATATAATAAATCTAAGGAAGAAAAAAATAATTGCAATGGGGAAGGGTACAATATAATCAAATTAATACTCCTGAATGTAATATATATGGTCCTGTGTATGTATTATTCATAATTTTTGCTCCCAACTTGGTGTAATTTCTATAAATTCTTTAAGCATATTGATCATGCAGATTATATGGTAAAAACATATTGTTATATTTAATTAATCATATAAAGAAAAGAAAGATATTTTTTAAAAGAGAATATTATAGCTTAGCTTGTCATTAGTGAAAACTATAATTAGAATATTACAGCTTGGTATATAGTACTTTACCATGTATGAAATTGAATGACAATACATATTGATTAAACAAAGTTAAATGTAATGTAATTTATCACAGAATTACCAAAAAGAGACCTAATATATGTGTGACATGGGAAGGAAAAAAATGTGTGACATACATTCCTGGCCTTTTTGATAAGTTTTTTATTATTGGACTCATTTCTATATTTGAGTGTCTGTTGTCTACCCTAATTATTTATATTGTACGAAGTATTTCATACTTCTAATTTTGTCTCCTTCTAATTTCATTCTTACTGAAAGAGAGTATATAGATTATTTTACTTTTGAAATGGTCTAGAAGTCTGAAATACTTGCAAGTTCGGAGTTCCTTCACAGACATGCAAAGTGACTTTAAGTTGGTAGCGCCTTGACTATTAAAACAGAAAGGAAAACTAAAGCAACCTTCTGTCTTTCGACAAAACACTATATATACATGCCATGTGTTCTTCACCTATACATCACCCATCTATTTAGTTAGTACATTTCTTGTACTTTAATTGTACTACAAATTGATTAGCTCCCCAGTTACTTAGCAATATCCATATATAGAGCAATGTACTCTTCTCCTCCTTCTTCTTCTTCTTCACTGTCTTGCTCAACAATAAGAGCAAGAAATGTGATCGCGGCAATTGCCATTGTCATCCTCTTGTCGAGTAGCTCTTATGCGCAACTTTCCCATGTGTTCTACGACAAATGTCCCAAGTTGTTCACTACTGTAAGAGGAATTGTCAAATCTGCCATTAAGAATGAAACACGTATGGGAGCTTCGCTCCTTCGCCTCCATTTCCATGACTGCTTTATTCAAGTAATATTCTCGATTCAATTCAATATTTGCAAAAAAAATATAAGATTAAGTGCCCGTTCGGTAGCCATGATTTTTGTCTTTTCAGGCTTATAAGCGAACTTTTTCACCAAACAAATAATTTTTGGGTTTACGGACTGAATTGTGTAATAATGAGAAAAAGTAAGGTTGTAGTTACTTTTCTGGCTGTATTGGCTAAAGTTACTGTAGAAGGTCATTTTAACTATTTTTTCATATAATGTTTTCTTTATTTTATTAATAAAATGTATTCTAAATTATTATTTTTCACAAATAAACAAAATCAGCCAATACAGTCACATCAGCCAGAATTTCATAAATTTCGGCAGAATCAGACAATACAACCGGTTTGAATATTACCAAACGGGCTCTATGAAAGTGGGGCATTCAAATTAAATTTACTGTTGAAGTATTTCTTTTGATGCAAATGGAAAGTATTTTGAAATATCCAAATAAGATCACGAGCTACTCCAAGGGAGAACATATTAATAGACCAACAACATAGTGATTGTAATTTCAAGAGAATTTAATTTCCCCATTATTTTTTATAAAAATGATGTTTGTACACATTCTTATACACACTTTTGTACATCTATGTCTGTGAAAGTTTTTTTTTGTCTGTGAACATCGATTCACAGACAATGTTTTGCACAAACAAAATATTGTCTGTGAACCCGGTTCATAGACAAAAAAAGCTTCACAAACATGGTGTGTACAAGGTGTGTACAAGGGTGTGTACATTAAGCATGGTTGTTTTTTTATCATTCCCCGGCCCGGGCAATAGACATTTTGAGAGAAGCTATATCATCATTGACTAAAAGTGTGTCGTTTGCCTTAAAAAGATGTAATGGTACCAAATTACAATCATCCTCTCACCCGATATCTCTAAAACAATTAAACATTATATTAAGATTTCGGGTAACCACCCATATCAGGTTGACCTTTTAGTATGGAACACCCGATCTAAACATGATATCAGAGATAAATCGATCTATAATCATGGTGCGAACCCCCTATGTAAAATGACTACACAATTATAAAAAGTGGTGATGACAATCCGCTAAAAAATAAACGACAACACGAACCAATATGAAGTTTTTGGTCGTGAGGAGGGATAAAATTAGCGATATAAAATTTGAAGCATATATCTATGTTTTTTATGGACGGAAAAAGTACTAAATTTAGCAACAAAATAAAGAATTTTGACGGACAGAATAAAGTACTAGATTAAATTAAATAAATAGAGCTGTGTTTTTTTGAAAGAAAAATAGAGCTATGTTTAATTTAGCGAATAAAATAATACTCGGTATTTAATTTAGTACTTCAAATTTTAGCTCTATTCTTCGAATTTTAGCTCTGTTCTCATTTGCATTTCTAATTAAATACATTTATCAAATACAAACTAAATGTTTATGATAAAGCTATGTATCTAACCTCTTGTATTATTATGCATTTTATGTAAAAATACATCAAGTACCTTGTGATCTGATTACATCACTGTGAAACTTTCACAAAAAAGGTCACATGTTCGAATCTCAACTCAATTCAAGGATGTTGAACAGATACTATAATATCTTAGGAAGCTTTGCAAAAAAAGAATTGACTTAGATCACTTTGCGGATGCAATCAGAGATTAGGCAAAACTAGAGCAAAAACAAATTATATTGTGAGTACCCTACGTCCTAGGTGTAATACATATTATCAAGTTATCAGGTTAATTAAGTAGAATTGACTTAGCTGTATTAAATAAATATATAACGTAGTTGACTAATTAAAAACATTTGGCTATGCCTAGTTAAATATGGTTTTAGATCAGACATTTATAATAATGTTTAATTTGATTTCAAGAAACCATTTAGGATTGATTTGGTTAGTGATGCATATTATTACTATTATTATTACCATTATTACTATTATTATTACTATTATTATTACTATTATCATTACTACTCCTCAGTCACAAATTGTACGATACATTTACTATTCACTTGGTCAACATAATCACTCTTAATCTTTTACTTTATATATCAAAAGTTTATGAAATTTGAATTATTTTTTGCAAGTTTTGTAGTGATTTTTATGTAGTTTCTGGATATGTAAATTTTATTTTCTAAAAGTAATTTGAGTGTTTACAGGGATCAATTTACTTTATCGTCGATTAAACATCGTAACCATAAAGTATTATTATTACTATTATTGTTGTTATTATTATTAGGGAAAACTATCAAATAAGCCCCCGTAGTATGCTGCAAAAGTTGATTAGGCCCTCGTACTTTACAAACACTCAATTAAGTCCTCGAACTATTAAAAAATGTTCAATTAAGCCTTTTCGGTCGGTAAGTAACCGGTTTCCCGGTTAAATGTAACCTGTTTCCCGGCAGCTGCCGTTGCTAGGGTTCGAGCACATCGTCGGCGTTGTCGCCGTTTAACCGGGAAACCAGTCACTTACCGACCAAAAGGGCTTAATTGAACGTTTTTTAATAGTTCGAGGACTTAATTGAGTGTTTGTAAAGTACGAGGGCCTAATCGACTTGTTCGGCATAGTACGGGGGCTTATTTGATGGTTTTCCCTTATTATTATTATTTTTATTACTATTACTATTGTTATTACTATTATTATCATCATTATAGGGGGTGTTTGGAACTAATTCTGATTCTGCTTCTTTTTTAAAGCAGAAGCAGAATCAGAATCAGTTTTAAGAAGCTGGTCACCCCCATCTTCTAAAAAAAACTGATTCTAGGAGTAAATTAGAGCACCAGAATCACTTCTGTACTTTCACCCAAACACCCCAACTTCTGCTTCTGCTCCCTGAAGAAGTAGAAGCAGTTTTAAGAATCAGATCCAAACACCCCCATAATTATTATTATCATTATTGTTGTTGTTATTATTATTGTTATTATTTTTGTTATTATTTTTGTTATATTATTGTTATTAGGAAGGTGGAGTTTGTGATGATCTGATTTTTTCTTGTTCAGGGATGCGATGCATCCATCCTGTTGGACGACATACCTGGTTCATTCACAGGAGAAAAAACAGCTGTGATTAACAACAATTCCGCAAGAGGATTCGGAGTAATTGATGAAATCAAATCGGCGGTGGAGAAAGTGTGCTCTGGTGTGGTGTCATGTGCAGATATTATTGCCATTGCTGCTCGTGACTCTGTCGTTCATGTAATTATAATACTCCATTGTTTGTCTCATGTCTTCCCTAAAATATATGTTTGTATTAGATAATAAAAATTATTTTTAGTATCTAATAAATAAAAATTATTTTTATTATCTAATAGTTTGTTCGAATTTAAGTGTCTATCTGCAATAAGTGGTAGTATAAAAGTCTTTTTATTTCGTATTAAAACTATTTTTTTTTAAATGGAGTATAAAAGTTTTTTATACACTTCAGAAGACATCTTAACGTGGGAAGTGAGAAGCTTCACATTTGCCTCTTTTTGATGCATTTTTTGCGATGACAGAAAAGTTTCGATTAATTACAGAAATGTCACCGTGTCTTGCATAACTTTTTTAATATTTTTTGCACTTTTCCAGCCATTAGATCTTAAATTGAATGCACCAGATGCATTCTCACTTTTTACGATAAGTTTCTTCTCATTTGATCTTTATTGTATATATATTCTTTTGCTAAAGAATTCGTATATAGCTTGGAGGACCATGGTGGAAAGTCAAACTTGGACGAAGAGACTCTTTAAACGCAAGCTTCAGTCTAGCCAACGGCGGTGCCGTCCCATCTATCTTTTCCAACCTTAGCGTCCTGATCTCAACCTTTGGCAATGTTGGCCTTAGCCCTACTGATACGGTTGCATTATCAGGTTCAACATATACGTACTCCCTGCTTTTTCATTTATTCGTGCATAACATTTTAACCTTAGCGTCCGTTTTAAAGTTTTCACTATCCTTTTTGCGATGTCCCTTATTTAAGTTCACACTTCCATTGTAGGAAACAAAACAGTGCCAAACAGTTTCAAACATTGTCTAAACAATACCAAACAGTGCACTCCACAGTAAAGTCAAATTTATTTTCTTAATCTGTGTGAAGTCAAACTGAGAACTTTGATAGGGACCGAAGGGAGTAATACTTTCTCTATATTCTATTGTTTGCTACAAGTATGAATAATGTAGAAAAAATGTTGAGTAATAGGGAAGGTGCAAAAGTACCAAATGAAATATAAAAAGTAAGAATAATTGAATAATCTCACAAAGAATATTACCCAAAAAAAGTATAGTAAACAAAAGAGTATTATACGAACAAATTAAGGAGGATCAGATATAATGTCACTTTTGTTTTTGTATCCTAACAAAACTAAACTATTATGTCTCACGCTTCAATTCTAATAAAGTGCACAATATAAAATCTCAAAACCCCATGTCTCGTCAAAGCTGATATATTCTTCTTCCGTTTTTTTAAATGCTAACAGTCCACTTTTTACGTTTGACAACGCACAAGTTTGATCGTTAATATCTTTCATACTTTATTGGTAAAAAAATTAGAGGAATTTAATAATAATTTTTAAAAAATTAATATATAAAACATTAATAAATAAAATAGAGTCAAAGTAGAACATGTGAATAGTGGGAAAAATCCAATGTTGCATTTAAAAAAGAATGGATGAAGTATATAATACCCTTAGCTTACGATGAAGAAGAAGAATTATATTTTGTGCATGCATGCGATCGAAATAGGTGTATAATTTACCGTTTTAAATAATGAGTTGATGATTTATTATCATAAAATTATTATCATAAAATTAAATAGTGAAAAAATGGCAGAAGTATTAGTTGTGGGGTTTTGAAAGATAAATATATGACCATTTTACTTTTTTTCCAAAAAGTAACCGATTATAAGCGCCTCTCTCTCCCCCACATTTACTCTAACGCACAAATCTACGCAAGATAGCTTCTCCATCTTCGCTCAAAATAGCCGCACCTCCATCTCTGTCAACCAGAGCTGCATCTCCATTGCGGCAAGCCAGATCCGCACCTCCATCGCCGCACGCCGGAGCTGAACCACCATCGCCGCATGCCGGAGCCGAACCACCATCGCCGCACGCCGGAGCCAAACCGCAGCGCCTCCATCATCGCCACCGTTCGACCGCCGCACCTTCATCCCCAAAGTTACTTCTTCTCTTCTCGCGATCTCTACATCTACTTCTAGTAGACTGTTGCCGTAGATCTTCACCTATCCGGTTGGCAAGGTTTCAACGGCATTCGATTTCGATCCCAGGGCTGCGAAAACGGGCTGGCAGCTAGGGTTACTGGCGGAGCTTGTTGGATGGCGGTTGGGGGCTAGGGTTCGGGACTGTGGGTTGGGGGCTAGGATGTACTGCTGGTTGGAGCTGAGAGCTGGGGGCCTAGGGCAGGTCCGATGGTGTGGGGCAGGGCCGATGGGGATGGGGCAGGGCTTGTGGGGGTGGGGTGTGGCTATGGTGATGGGGTGCGGCAGGTCTGGAATGATAATGAGGGCAGGTCTAGGGTAATGGGGGGTAGTGCAGGGTTGTGGGGATGGTGGTGGGGCAGGGCAGGCGAAGGGGAAGGGGATTAGGGTGCAGGGGAGGGGGCTGGGGACAGGGAAAGGGGACTGCGGTGCAGGGGAAGGGGGATGTGGGGCTGGGGTGAAGGGGAGGGGGAGGGGAGCAGTGGAGGGGGATGGGACTGGGGTAAGGAGCGGTGGAGGGATGGGACACCGGAGACGTCGTGTTACTATGGCGGTGTCACTGTGGGTGATGGGCGGGCCGTAACTTTGACCGGAGTCACTTTAGCGGTGTCACTATAGCGATGTCACTGTGTCCGGCAGCGGTGATCGGTGGTGGTGACCGACGGTGGAGGTGGCGGCAGTGACATATATCTTATAGTGACATAACAGTCCGATAGTGACAAAAAAATGACAGTGACATCATGTTTTCCAAATATGTGACCTTCTTAGTCACATTTTTGTCTTTTTAAAAAATGATCACATTTTTGGAAATCAGATTAAATTTAGTAATATTCAAGGAAAAAACCCTTAAATAGTGATCATTGAAGTTTATATATTGAGAAACTATATTTATAAGAAATAATTACATAAATATGATTAAAATAAAGATGATTAACAAAAATGTGACTAAATAATAATGAAATCACAATAATTTATGTTAAATTTTTAAACTTAAGTTATCACACTACATTGTAGTAACTATTAGTCATATTTGTATAAATAAGTTTTATTTTAGTATTATTTTTGAAAAAAGTCCTATTAATAAAGAGTCGATCTATCCAATAGCAACAAAATATATTCATATGTTCTAAGAAAATTATACTCGATTAATAAATCACAGGATCAGATCGGATAAGATTATAAGAATATACCTTTCATCGACTGCTCACGATTTTAAAGTTGCAAGAAGCTAGCCAGTAATTCAATTTTACCATCTTCTAATAATGATCCTGGAAAATTAAACACCAGTACAAAAGGTGTTTTTTGCAGCATTCCTTTTCTAGCACCATAAAAATTGCTACAATATAATATCTATTGTAGCATTATTGTACCAAGAAATTATATAATAATATGATAAATTGCTACAATACATCCATTTTAACATCATCCGAATGCAACATACTAAAAATTGTTACATTTGAAAATTTGTACTAGGCATTTTTGACACCTATTACGACATTTTACGTATGCTACAAAAGTTATACTTTGTTATACTCTAAATAGGAGCACACACAATTGGAGATGCAAGGTGTGTGACTTTTCGGCGTCGGATTCACAACGAGAGCACCATTGACGCAAGCTTTGCAAGTGGTCTGAAGAAGATCTGTCCGTCGACTCAGGGAATTGGGGATGCCAATTTGGCCCATTTTGACCATCAAACTCCATATGCATTCGACAACAAGTACTATGGCAACCTCATAAACCAGACCGGACTTCTTCACACCGATCAGATACTCCTCGATGGTGGGAACATAACCATTGCTTCATTGGTTGAACAATACAGCAAAGACCAGAACAAGTTCTTCACTGACTTTAGCGCAGCGATGATCAAGATGGGAGATATCGCGGTCTTAACCGGATCCAAAGGTGAGATCAGGAAGGATTGCAGAAGAGTTAATAATTGATCGATTCATTCACCATCCAAATCACGCTCGCCCGCCTGTAGTGCATGCTATCAGACTTTAAACATGACAATATTTGACAATAAATATTGCTATGTTAGGAATACAAACATACCAGTCATATTTTGGGAATTTTCCTTTTTTTCTTGGAACATCGAGTCATTAGGTTTATCCTTTTTGTTTGGTCATTTAAGTACACTGCTTGCTGCTTGTTTGTTTCTTGATTCTAGCTGTTATTGTCATCAACCGGGGCGGGTACGTACCATTTTATGTGGTTTTGTTACTTAATTCATCTTTAGCCTGCCAGTTATTTGGTTTTACAGGTTTCCCACAAGAATTATAATAATGGTGGCATTGTATTGCTAAACTGTTAGACTATTGGACTCATACTACATGTATTATTCACAGTATACTATTTATTGGGTTTAATTGTATGTTATATGTTATCTTATATTTAGGCGCAAAATTAGTGGTCCTATGGATATTAATTTAAGTGGGCTAATAAGTTATCTAATAAGGTATATGGCCCAAATGTATAGAGACCCATGGGCTTGACCTAATCAATGATGGGCTGATTAGGGTTAAGCACTCTCTATAAATAAGGGGTTATGGTCCCTAGTTGAACACGCCATTCAGTCTTTCTGCATCCCATCGCTAGAGAGATAATTCCCGAGGGTGTGTATCAACTAGAAGACGCAAACCCTAGCCTCCGTCTCCCGGATCTCTACAGGTTATCTCCAATGGAGTCAGGTACGCTTCCGCTCAAGTTATTTCTCTAGATAATTCCAATATGAAGATTAAAGTATTATCGGATTTATTCCAACAATTGTTATCAGAGCCCCCTTCATATTGAATTGTTTGGAGTCAATATAATCTACCGATTTATTGAAATAAGGGTAGTGCGATTTTGCGTTTATGCAATTCGTTCATAATATATTTATATATTAGATCGGCAGTTCATCATTAATCAAAGCGATTTGATCGTGTGTTTGTTTTTTATTTTTTTAATCGCTTTACAATTTGCAATTGAAATTTGAACATATATATGATATGTCGATTAATTGGATCTGGGATATTGAGATGGAATACGGAAAGATGCTCCAGATTTTGAGAGTCTTTAATTGGTATCTTTTCTTTTAGCATATTGATATTGACATGAGATCCGTATGGATGTTCCAGATTTGTATTATTTCCTTTCTGTATTTTTGGATTTCGGCCTGAACTTTGTGGAGTCAGTAAATTGCAGTGAGAAAATTACTTCCACTTTGCCTGAGTCTTGACCATTGAGTGCTGTATGTTAAGTTAATAAGTTTTCTTTCCCTCTTCCGAATTGTTTAAAGGATGGTTCAATTTTTTTTTTAATGGAGAATTGCAATGAGGGTTTGATGTCTAGTAGAATTAAAGATTCTTTTAATTTTGATCATGGTCGAATTCTTGTTTTGATATTGCCAATTATGTTGTGATTGATTTTGGTAAGAGAATCATCTTTTTTGAATTCAATGGTTCAGAAATAAACGGATGATCAAATAATATTTAGTGAATATACGTTTATCACTTATTATGTGATTTTGTTCTTAGTTCGGAACCAATATTTTCAGTGTACAGAATTATATGTGTATCAAATTGAATTTTGATATGTTTCCTTATTCGGTGATTCAATTTTGGAAATGTTTTATGGTTTTGGTAATTAAATAGTTATATGTAAATTCGGCCAATATCAGTTCTATTAGAATTTCATGTTTGGAAATAAATTACTTTTGTTGGTGATCATGATTTACGGTTTGAAAAATGTGTATTGTGTGTTATGGGATGTATAAACCCTATTTTGCGATCGCACATCGATTGGGTACGGATTTTACAAATTATTATTACACAAAACACATTTGCATGTGATTTTCAAAAAAAAAATCGCCCAATTTTATTTTAAGATGTTTGGTTTAATATTAGCATGTCTAATATTTGGGTTGGTTAATTGACACAACATGCTGCCAAAGTAGCCTCTCTTGTAGAAATTAATTAATTAACTCATATATTAAGATGATTGTGTACTTTCTTATTTCATGCGGATAATAATCGGCCCAAAGGAATGTTATTATTTGGCCGAAATTTAAGTACACTTGTGATAATAAATTTTGTGATAATTATGAGGTTTTCATGTGAATATTAAGTCGGTCCAAAGAAAGACTTAATATTTACATGATTTTATTATCAAAATTTTATTATTACACCAAGAGTATCACTTGCAAGTCTAATTTATGACTAAAGACAAGATTAGATGTTGCGCTAGGTATCTTGTGATGGGGATTGCTAATATTTAAATTTAAAATTACTTATCAAATTAATTTCAGTTCCTGGATGCTTCTTTTGCAAAGGGACTAATCACAAGAAAAAGAACTGCACTAAGCACCACGCTTGGAAGGCGAAAGAGGGTATGCCTCTTGCTCTTGTTTGTTCTGAGGTTAATTTAATTTCGGTACCAAAAGACACTTGGTGGGTAGATTCCGGTGCTACTACTCACATAAGTGTATCTATGCAGGGTTGCTTGAGCTGCCGAAAACCAATTGATGGTGAAAGATACATCTGTGTCGTTGATGGCAAGCGGGTTGAAGTGAGGCTATCAGTGTTTTTAGATTCTTATTAAAGACTGGTTTTTATTTGGATTTGAAAGAGACATTTGTTGTGCCGTCATTTAGGCGGAATTTAATTTCTATTTCTGCATTGGACAAATTTGGTTATTCTTGTTCATTTGGAAATGGTCCGTTCAGTCTATTTCAAAATTCAAAACTTATTGGTACTGGTCTTTTATCAGTTTATGATAATCTATATTCACTTGATATAAATACCTCATATAATGAAACCTTGCATGCAAGTACTCGTGGTACTAAAAGAAAATTAACCAATGAGAATTCATTTTCACTATGGCACAAGCGTTTAGGACATATTTCTAAAGAAAGAATTCAGAGACTTGTGTCAGATGGAATTCTTGATTCTCTTGACTCCTAAAATTCTGATATTTGTGTTGAGTGCGTTAAGGGAAAACAAACGAACAAACGGAGATTAGGTGCCGAGAGAGCTTCAGATCTATTAGAATTGATATATACAGACATTTGTGGACCATTCCCTACACCATGTAGAAATGGCCAAACATATTTTATCACATTCATAGATGATTACTCTCGTTATGGTTACCTTTATCTCATTCATGAAAAGTCCCAATCAATAGACGTGTTCAAATCTTATAAGGCCGAAGTTGAAAACCAATTAGGCAAAAGAATAAAACCGTTAGATCTGACTGTGGTGGTGAATACTATGGTAGATATGATGATTCCGGTGAACAACGTCCAGGGCCATTTGCTAAATTCCTAGAGGAGTGTGGAATTGTTTCTCAGTACACCATGCCAGGAACTCCTAGCATGAATGGTGTTGCTGAGAGACGAAACTGTACATTGAAGGACATTGTTAGGAGTATGATCTGTCATACTACTTTACCAGATTCACTCTGGAGAGTGGCACTGAAAATTGTAGCTTACATACTCAACAGAGTTCCCACTAAAGCTACAACTAAAACCCCTTATGAAATTTGGACTGGAAAGAAACTCAGTATAAATGATTTCCATGTTTGGGGTTGTCCAGCTGAGGATAGGCTTATAGGCCAAATGAAAAGAAACTGGACTCAAGAACAGTTAGTAGCTATTTTGTAGGATACTCTAAGAGGTCAAGGGGTATAAGTTTTATGATCCCACTACCAGGACTATTTTTGAGATGAGTAATGCCCGGTTCTTTGAGGATATTGAGTTTGGGGGGTGGGGAGATAAGGTTAGAGATTTTGTCTTTGAGGAAGAGCATGTTACTCTTCCTTCAGTTGTCATTGAACATGATCAAGATATTTTTATTCCTAATGATGTTCAAGAAAAAACTCCAGTTCATGACAATCTCGAAAACATCCCCAATCAAGTACCTGAATTTATTAATGAGGATCAAACTCAACAACCTCAAGAACCTGAGGTGCCATTAAGGAGATCCACTTGAGAGAGGAGAAGCGCAATTCCGGATGATTATATTGTATTTCTCCAAGAACATGAGGAGAATTGGGAATTGGTGGAAGAAATAATTGTCTTCCTCCAAGAACAAGAATCGGATGTTGGTTTTGCGGAAGATGATCCAATCAACTTCCGTCAAGCCATGGAAAGTTCCAACTCTCGAGAATGGATTAATGCCATGAAATATGAGATGAAGTCTATGAGTGACAATGACGTTTGGGAGTTAGTCTCATTGCCTGAAGGTATTAAACCCATTGGTTGTAAATGGATATTTAAAATCAAGAGGGATTCAAAGGGCAATGTTACAAGGTTTAAAGCTCGTCTTGTTGCTAAAGGCTACACTCAAAAGAAAGGAATTGACTATAAAGAGACTTTCTCTCCGGTATCCTCGAAAAACTCTTTTAGAACAATAATGGCATTAGTGGCACATTTTGATCTTGAGCTTCATCAGATGGATGTAAAAACTGCATTTCTCAATGGTGACATTGAGGAATCAATCGATATGGAGCAACCAGAAAACTTTGTTTTGGGAGATTCAAAGGAAATGGTTTGCAAATTAAAGAAATCTATCTATGGGCTCAAACAGGCTTCTCGTCAGTGGTATCACAAGTTTCATAAAGTCATTATATCTTTTGGTTTTCAACCAAACGTCAGTGATGATTGTATATACCACAAGTTCAGTGGGAGTAAGCATATTTTCCTGGTCTTGTATGTTGATGACATACTGCTTGCTAGTAACGATATAAGCTTATTGCACGAAACTAAGAGATTTCTTTCAAAGAATTTTGAAATGAAAGATCTTGGTGAGACTTCTTTTGTATTAGGAATTCAAATACACCGAGACCGCTCCAAAGGAGTTCTTGGACTCTCACAAAAGAGCTATATCGATAAGGTTCTCAAAAGGTTTGGTATGCAAGACTGCAAACCAGGAGATACCCTAGTTTATAAAGGAGACAAGTTTAGTCTCATGCAGTGCCCTAAGAATGGTTTGGAATCTAAAGAAATGAGGAACATTCCTTATGCTTCGGCTGTAGGAAGTTTGATGTATGCCCAGGTTTGTACAAGACCTGATTTGGCATACATTGTTGAGATGTTAGGTAGATATTTGAGCAATCCGAGAATGGACCATTGGAAAGCAGCCAAAAGGGTCATGCGGTATTTACAGAGAACAAAGAAATATATGCTCACATATCAGAGACCGGATCAGCTTGAGATCATTGGGTATACCGACTCTGATTTTGCTGGATGTCAAGATAGCTTGAGATCCACTTCAGGCTACATCTATATTCTAGCTGGAGGAGCTATCTCCTGGAGGAGTATCAAGCAGACTCTTACAGCTACTTCCACCATGGAAGCAGAGTTTA